GAACATATAAAAGGCTACTAAAATTTTCCTCTACACATTCTATTTGATGAAAGAGAATTTTGCCTTTGAAATTTCTTTCAAAGAAAATTTGAAAGAGATTCTTCTATATGGTGTGTAGCATTTTTGCACACATAGAGATTTGACTTGGTCAAGAAGTGTACGTGTGAATGTCTTGTCTTTCATTGGAGAACCTTTTCTCTGGCTACCAGCAGCTTCTTGGATTTCCATTGGATTCCCAAGGGAGGAGATCATGATGAGGAACTCTTCCCAGGAGCATTTTCAGGAATGGTGCTCCTGTCACCACTAAGGAAGACTTCCACCCTTGAGAAATTATTGGAGTATCCCAGAACAATTTGAAGAAATGGTCCACCCTATTTCTGTGCCTGCAAATTGCATGGATAGATCTTCTGTTTGGGTCCAAGACTAAGACTGTAAAAAGAAAACCTTACAAAACCCAACGACAAAGTACAACATGCATAAAAGAAAGGACAAAATTTAAAATACATCAGCAGGAATTGGATGGGGGATTTTCAAAAAGCCATTTGTGGCCTGCTCTTAATTTTCTTGCAACTCTTCACATGTTGTCTTTGCTGCGTATGGTCACAATACTGGTCTGTGAATGCTTGTTTTCAAAGGTGTAACGAACGTCTCGCAACTCCTGAGCTGGATGCTGGCGGTGGCTTGTCAACAAGGCCATCTAGAGGTGGTTAAGCTCTTGGTCCTGGCATACAAAGCCGATCCGGACAGCTATGCCGTGAAAAAAAATGAGTTTCCAGTCCTCCTTCGATTGCCACTTTATGCTGCGATGCAAGCAGGTGTATGATTGTTGTTCATTCTGGGCCAATTTTCCTCTTCATTGGGCTGTTGGGGGCCACTTTCCCAAAAGAGAACATGGCCGTGAGAACTGGGGCACAAGAGCCCGCATGGTGAGGTGTTTAAGGCAGTGTTTCTCAACCTTGGCAGTTTAAGATGGGTAGACTTCAACTCCCAGAATTCTGGGAGTTGAAGTACACCCATCTTAAAGTTGCTGAGGTTGAGAAACACTGGTTTAAGGTGTAGGATTAAAGCTAGAGAGAGTCATCTCAAATCCTTAGTCACTATCCCTCAGCCCAACCTGATTTATGGGCTTGCTCTTAGGGGAGACCTACCTATGCGGGAGACCTACCTATCAGTATCTCACCAAAAGGCAGGATACAAATGTAATGAGAAAATGGAATCAATTGCATTTATATTAAAACAGCAAATATGTTTATTTGCCACATAATTTTAATCATTTGCTTTTTAGTTAATATTAACAATTACTGTTTGGTGGCCACTCTGGAGTGGCTGGGCTGGGTCTCGGCTTGGAGAATGAGGCTGTATTAGATATACAAGTAGTCCTTGTTTAGCGACTGCCTTGTTTAGCAACTGTTCACAGTTATGATAGTGGTGAAAAAGTAACTTTATGACCAGTCCTCGCATTTACGACCTTCCCAGGTCTGTAAAGCAAAGAAAAGCTGGAGTAAGTTTGTAACCACAGTCATGGTTTCGCTTAGCAGCTGTTTGCTTAATGACCGAGTGGCCAGTCCCAATTGTGGTCACTAAACAAGGACTACCTGTATCCTTGTTTTAAGGAATGCCTTTCAGAACTGAGTAATTTCAAAATATAAGTCCTCAGTTTTACGTTTTTTAAAAAAAGGAAGTCTTAGAAAAACAGGTATTTTAATTGGAAGTACTAACATAGCTTCTGCCCTTATCTGTGTTTGCTAGGGCACGATGATGTTGCTGCCTTCTTGCTGGAGAATGGTTCGTTCTTTTGTTCCTACACCCTAATGGATTGTCCCAATGCTAGCAAACGCCTTCTTTGCAAACATTTCATTGAACCAGTCCCTTTAAGCAGAAATGTCCAGGCAAAGCCAGTGAGTCATATCAGGGGGAGAAATTGTTTAACTATTGTAATTGTTATCTGTTAAAATTATATTAATACCTATTAATAGTTTGTAAAGTTCAAAAATACAAATACACAGATGCAAAAGGCCACTGTGAATCAATCTTAAATGCACCTTATTACTTCTTTATTGTGGTTTTCTCCCTGTCTTTTCTGTCTTTTGATTTTATATTTATTGAGATAAGTACATATTTAAAATTTATATTTATATTCATAACTATATGATATTTTATTTACTATGAGGTTAATTTCAGATAATTGCTTAGTTGTGATTATTGTAGTGTGGATCATTAATCATTAATTCCTGATTATTACCCTTCAAGAATCTATTGATGCTGGCAGGCTAAAATCAGATCAAATCAAATCAATACATACATAGATACACACATACTATGGGCTGGAGATATGCTAAGCTGTAAACCATGGTTTGGAAACTGTAATAACTGATTTCTTCCAATACACTAAGCTGCATTTTAAAAATTCACCTTATGGTTTAGTACTGTGAGTAAACAGAGATGAAAAATAGGCTGTATGTTACTGGATTAGCATTTGCAAACCCAGAGAGATTTTTTTAAAAAATCAATGTATTGCAATGGAGTGGGGGGAAAAGAAAAGGCAGCTAGTTGAAGTTTTGCAGTATTTCATCCTCGGGATGCATCCTTAAGCATCAACCTCTAATTAGCAGCGATGTTCACGCAGCACGCTGGGTGAGGCTAAAAAGAGTTGATAGTTCAGCATGCTGTGGAAGATCCATAGGTTGTGAGCATTTAGGCTTAGCCATACTGTGGTTTTCTTGTTTCAGTTTCTCTCTGAAAGTCACATCTGCTTTTCAGTCAGAATTGTTGATGATCCCCATTAAATGTCCCTCATCTCTTTATCTGCAGGGTCTTTCTGTGAACTGGTCGAAACTTAGGCTTCCTTGGGTGGATTTTGACTGGCTGATAGATCTTTCCCACCAAATAACGGAGCTCGACCTCTCTGCTAATCATCTGGCCTCCCTTCCATCCATCATCCCTTGGGGACTGATCAACCTTCAGAAACTGAACCTCTCTGACAACCGATTAAATCAGCTGCTTGATGTACAGTCATCAGATGGAATCATATGCACAAAGCACGTGGCCCTTATTCTTAGAGAAAAGTACCTGGGAGTAATTCTGAATAGGGTGTACTCCGAATTAAGCAAGGGCTGTAAGGCAAGAATGCTGACGTCACCTGTTGACTCAGCTCTATGCAATCTCAGTCCGAGAGCTCTTTTGAATTACTTTGTTCCCTAAGACCATGTTTGGGATGACTCCTACTTCCTTTGCTTGCCCTTTTATGGTGGGAGTGATGACGCTCAGAAGCCTTGTGTCCAAAGATGGCCCAAACCAAGATCATGGTTAACAACTTCAAAACCAACGAGGATTTAAGCTTAAGTTATCTAAACACTAGAGCGCTAATCATCTCTAGTCAATATTGTATAAATACCACTATGCTCAAATAATATATTGTACTACTTATGTTTGATAATAAAACAATAAAAACAAATTACAGAGAACAAACAAACAAGGATTTTAAGCCAAATCTAAATAACAGCTTTATTATTCTTTATTCCAGATCTAAAAAAAAGTTACTTGGTTTGGGCAGAATTGGAAATTCTTTTAAATGGAAGGCACCCTGCTTTTTTCCCTTTTTTTTTTTAGATTTTTTATGCTTCCTTTATTATTTTTATAAATAACTCAATGTGACGAACATACCTAATACTTCTTCCTCCTCCTATTTTCCCCACAACGACAACCCTGGGAGGTGAGTTGGGCTGAGAGAGAGGGCCGGCCCAAAGCCACCCAGCCAGCTTTCATGCCCAAGGCAGGACTAGAACTCATAGTCTCCTGGTTTCTAGCCTGCTGCCTTCCCACTAGATCAAACTGGCTCCTTTCTTTCATTTTTCATTGTTTTTCCATTTCCATTTTCATTGTTCTTTCATCTGTGCAAAAAGAATAAAGGGACCACATATATGGGCAGAATTCTTGTTAACCTTCTGCCTGTGAAGCTAAGATACAACTGCCTAAATCCATCCTTTGTTTACACGTTGGAGTACAGCTCCAATAAGGTCTTTCTTTGTTATATACTACTCCTTTCTGTATTCTTACAGTAATAAGTAGTTAAATGGAAACTTTAAAGGTAAAACTGGATCTTTTATAGATGGTTCATTCCAGTACCTCATAGCAGCAGATTACATCAACCAGGATGTATTCTGAGTTCTACTATTTATTTATTCTAAATCTGTATTTTTATTAGGAACAACCTAAATGGCATATGTAGGCAAGCTTTTGAGTTCTTAATTAAGAGCTTCAGAGCTCTTAATCAGCAAAGAAGTTTTGAAAAACCGAGGGATGAAAACAGTGCAAGAAAGCCCAAAATTTAGGTGCAGAGCCGCTCTTTAAAGTTAGTTTCAGGTGAACACATTATTTGGGGCAGAGCTTGCTCATATCAAATTACCAGATTGTCTTCTCCAATTTGGGCACTCTCCAGATGTCCCCTGGATTCTCAGCAGTAGCCATGCTGGCTATGCTTCTGGGAGTTGAAATCCATTCGTTTTAAAAATGGCCACATTGGCAGGAGCTAAGGTTCATCTACCAGTTGGAGACAAAAAAGAGTTTTTCTTCCTGACTCTAAAACTTCTTTATATATTTATATTCCACTTGGTTTCTTTCTTTTTAATCCACAGGCTACTCGAGATTGACATATCCAACAACAGATTCCTCAGTCTTCCTTCGGGTTTCTTGCACCTTTCCAGACTCCAAAGACTTATTGCTGCCAAAAATTATTTAGAAAGATTATTTGATGAGGAGAATGGTGAGTGCATATGTTCAAAATACAATGGTTTGTTTTGGGTTTGAAACAAAACACATTTTCTGCTTGTGGCCCACCCTGTTCTTTAACCTATAGTGTCCTCCTTTATGATCAGATTCCACATCTTCTCAAGACAGTGGAAGTTACTGATTCTTCCTTCTTTTCATATCCTGAAGCCATGTTCAATGTGCAGATACCTTTCCCCCCTTCATCACACACACAAAACCCCCTTCTTCATTTCTTTTCGAGAGCCCTAAGTCATTGGGCAAATATGTAACTTAATATTGTTAAGCTACAAATCTTGTTTACACATCATGGTGATTGGATTCATCTAATGTAGAAATTCCAAGCCAAATAAATTGCATGGTGGCTTAGCAGAATGTATGAATTCAGCTATTGTCACTTCCTGTGAAAACGAAATTGCCCAAGAAAAGAAATGATTCAGAGAAAAGATTCGAGAGTAAACCTAACTAGCAAAGATTCTCACATTTGTTGATGTGCTATTTGCATTTTTTTCCTTAGCAACGAACTGGATTGGATTAAGAAAACTGCAGGAATTAGATGTCTCAGACAACAGGTTATCAGAGCTGCCCGTTTCCTTTCTGCACTGTCTGAAATCACTGCATAGCCTCAATGGATCTAGCAATAACTTAAAAGTGTTTCCTCAACCATGGGCCTGTCCCTTGGTGAGTCTGGGTAATCATCCTGTGATCACTGTGTATTTTATAATGTGTCATTTTTAGAATGTGTGAGAATCACATTGGGATCATTGTGATACATGTTTAAGTGATACTTACAAGTGTCACCACTAGAAAACTTCTCCATGAGATTTCATCAGAGGTGGTTTCTTTCTTTCAAACCTGTGTTCACTTCTTTAAGAACTAGAAATGTGGTGTGTGCATGTGGGTATATGTGTACAATGAAGAAATGTGGCATTCTTTGATGTAACTGAAATGCGTATCCCCGTCATTTGAACTCATATATATTTTCACATGCTTGTTAGATCCATAAATATATAAAAGCTGAGATTTTGATGATGGACAAAGATGAACATTTCTCTTCCTTACATTTTCAGAAATGTTGCAAAATAGCTAAAAATATGCTGGAATCTCTGCCTGATACTTTGGCAGTGTTTTGGAAAAACCATCTCAAGGAAGTAGACTTTTCTGACAATTCCCTGAAAGAAGTTCCACAGTGTCTCTTCCAGCTTGAAGTAAGGAAGGAAGAAACTTGCTTTTACTACTTTGGGCCACTTCCTTTATTCTGCAAAATAGTTTTGGATAGTTTTCTTTATGTTATTTGCAGTCTCAGATCAGAAGGAGTGTCTGATGAATATCTGAAGGCCTTGAGGGATATTCCAGCCAACCATATTGATTGATTGATTGATTGATTGATTGATTGATTGATTG